CATGTGTAAAGAAAAACACAATAAGCCGATGGAAAAAAAAAGGACATCTTAAAAAATACCCTTTTGTAATTTGAACCACCGTGGAAAAGCAAATAGTTAAAATATAATCGTTTGTTTTTTGTTCCACCCCTTTTCGGGGGGGGGGGGGGGGGTAATACAGAAGGGGAAGTGCAAGGGAATATTTCCCGGATAAAAGGCGCTGAAGAAAGGGAAGAAGATCTGGTGTTGCGAGGTTTGTTGCAAAAGAAATGGTAGAAAATCCCAAGAACTTTTAGATCGACCTGTTAAAAAACTCTAACTAGATGAGGTAAGAGCAAAAACCCTTCCCTATATTTCATATCTATAAATGACGTGATTAAGAGAGCTTAACCAAAACAACAGGTTTGTTCTAAAAGGAAAATTCATCAACACAGTTTATTCAGCTAATTAAACTCCGATTTAAAAGGAAATGATTATACGACTTTGGGGCTGTCAAAATTGTCTAAAGTCTTATTTGACCGATATTACGTTCTGCAACGACAAATTATGGTCAGTCATTTTCAAGTCCCTAAGAGAGCGTTAGTGAAAATTACATTCTCACAAGTGCACTCACTCAATAGAAGGTATTAACATGGGCGCTCGTCTTCTTTTTATTATTTTTGTGTTGCTTTTTGCAGTTGCGGTTCTAGATGTGTTCGCTGGATTAATCAAGGTTTGCTTGCCGATTTTTTGTGATTTTTTCTTGTTTCCTGTATTATGAGGTTAAATAAGGTTAAATAAGGTTGAGGACTGTTTCACCGCTAAGCTTGTGGAGGGCTTCACCGCTAGGCTCGTGGACGGCTTCACCGCTAAGCTCAGGGATTGCTTTACCGCTAAGCTGATGGACCGCTTCACCGCTAAACTCGAGGACCGCTTCGCCGCTAAGCTCGTGAACCGCTTCACCGCTAAACTCGAGGACTGTTTCACCGCTAAGCTCTGGGACCGCTGCACCTTTAAGCTCGTGAATCGCTTGACCGCTACTAAGCTTGTGGACCGCTTAACTGCCAAGCTCGAGGACTGCTTCTATGCTAAGCTCGAGGACTGCTTCACCGCTAAGCTCGTGGACCGCTTCACCGCTAAGCTCGAAGACTGCTTCACCGCTAAGCTTGAGGATCGCTTCACCTTTAAGCTCGCGAATCGCTTGACCAAACCGCTAAGCTCGTGGACCGCCAGACGGCTAAGCTCATGGACCGCTAGACTGCTAAAATCGTGAGCCGCGTGACCGCTAAGCAAGTAAACGCAAGACCACAGTCATTCCGCGAAAACACCGCAACCAAGCTGTTGTCGAACTATCCAACCATGAAGTATCAGACAGAACACCCAAGCAAAAACCATGGCCAAACGCAGGGAAGAACTGTCGCCCCAAATTACGAAGAAACAACGATTGCACAAAAACCAGGCGAAGCCGAAGACAACGTAGAAAGAAAAACGATTTGACTGCAACAGCAAAAAACAGCGAGAATCAGACGGTAAAAGAATGATCCAAAGGCTAAACGAAGAGAATGGCCGCCACGAAAACACTGTACTGAGCACATGGAGGTGATGCAAGCAAGGCTGACCGCGCTTGAGCCCAAACGACCGACCGCTGACCACGCCCGCGCTCCTTGTTGTTAACTCGTGCCATGTAGGTGATTTTTTTTCTTTGGGTAGTAGGCAACGTTGAATTAGAATGAAACAAAAAGGCATATAAATTTGTATGCCCTGGCAATACATATCCTAATTACCTCTGATATAGCTTTTTCACTAAAAACAAAGAATGCACTTTCTCTATTTTCCAAAGAAGAAAAAGCAATATCCACATACTCTTTTTTGTCCAATTATTAACAAAGATCATATGGTAACACCGAACAATACATCATCTTCATTTCACAGAATGTATTGCTTCTATTTATTTGCCACTATCTGAGTCTAAAGGATAATGGATGTACCAATGAATTATACTGAAAAGGCGGGAAAATTTTTGAACATAGGATTAAGAAGCATTTTTAAAAGCCTTTTTAAAATATTTCTCTCTAATATGATCTGATTATGAGGAACACGATTGGCTAATATAAATATAAACACGATTTGGAGAAAAAAGAAATGAGCCTTAGAAGGGAAACTGACTTGTTGTAAGTGTCACAAGTTTGGTTTGCAATACTTGCGACATATTCTTTATTATTAATAAAATCAGGTATGCTGATGTCTGAACATCAGTGCTTTTAAAAGTCAGGAAAAGTTTTTGGCAATATAGTGAATATTTAACAATTATTCTTTGAAATCGAGGTGAATAGTGGCAAAATATTTACCGAGCCGCGAAAGCGGTGAGGTAAATATTCCCAAAGCCACTATTCACCGAGATTGAAAAGAATAATTGTTTTAGTATATACACACGAAGTGATCTCAACAAAATCAGAGAGGAAACCATTAAAAAGTACGATTTCATTGACAGATCAAATCACGCATAAGTTTAAAAATAGATCTTTGCAGAATTTTCAAACATGGCAATTCACAAGTTTATCATTTCGCAAACAACAGTGTAATGGCTTAAATGGAACTGCTAAAAGTTTGAACTGTTTCCTTAACTTACCTGAGAAGAAAAGTAGAGCTTTGTTGTTTTCTGTTGACTCGCCAAGTTGATAGCCAAAAGGGTTTGTTATGTCGTTCTTCGCGTGAAGTGCTGACAAAAATGGCGGCTCTGTTGCTCGAGGTAAGACGTCGTCTTCCTGTATCATTATTTTTCCTGTTTACTTGAAACGTAGAATTTCCTTTTAAATTTGTTTGTCATAAATAAACTTGACTTGACTTGGAAGGATTCAATACGGAGTTTTTCAATATACTGTAGCTGAGTTTGTGCTCGATGGATTGTTAATTTTACAACTCCCGTGTATTCGCGTAGAAGAAGCCGTTTCGTGAACTCAGCGTTTTCTAACAAGAAAGTTTTGGCTCAAAAATCGAAGTTTATTTATGACAAACAAACTTAAAAGGAAATGTTTGCAGAAATTCTACGTTTCAAGTAAATAGGAAAAAGAATGATACAGGAAGACGACGTCTTACCTCGAGCAACCGAGCCGCCATTTTTGTCAGCACTTCATGCGAAGAACGACATAACAAACCCTTTTGGCTATAAACTTGGCGAGTCAACAGAAAACAACAAAGCTCTACTTTTCTTCTCAGGTAAGGAAACAGTTTAAACTTTTAGCGCTTCCATTTAAGCCATTACACTGTTGTTTGCGAAATGATAAACTTGTGAATTGCCATGTTTGAAAATTCTGCAAAGATCCATTTTTAAACTTACGCGTGATTTGATCTGTCAATGAAATCGTACTTTTTAATGGTTTCCTCTCTGATTTTGTTGAGATCACTTCGTGTGTATATACTAAAACAATTATTCTTTTCAATCTCGGTGAATAGTGGCTTTGGGAATATTTACCTCGCCGCTTTCGCGGCTGGGTAAATATTTAGTCACTACTCACCTCGATTTCAAAGAATAATTGTTAAATAGTCCGAGATAGCGAACCAATCAGATGCTTAAATCACCAAGATCACTGAGTGTGTATATACTAATTATCGATAGAATAGTGATCAATTGAGAATGACTACTTTGACTAATGTGTTACTTTTGTGAAAAAATTTACTTTTTCAGTTCGTCCTTCAGGGATTTGACAAGAAGCGTAAACTACTTCATGTCGTCTTTTTACTTCGCCTAAAAAACGCACACAGTTAGAAAATTCAGCCTTATTTTCTGTCTTTAATCAATATACGGTTAATTAAATTCATTTGGATATCAAATGGAACTGAAAAAAAAGAGCCTTATCGGCACTGTAAATCTTAGCTTGCTTTCTGAAGGTTTCAAAAACGATACGGTACATGTTGCACGATGTTTGATTGGCGTAAGTCTTATACTTACAACAATACTCAGTTTTTCAACATGGATTAATCGCATGCAAAGAGCCGTGAACTGTCAGTCGGATTCTGCGCGCGTAAATCAAACATTCTGTAGGGTATCCGCGATAATTCATTGTTCACTAACGACCACTAACTTTTTCAATCAAATCTAACACCCAACTTTCATTTTGTGTAATATACAGATGGTCGTTAAATAGGGTTGTTTTCTAGGAATTTTGTTAAACAAGAAGTATGCATTAACAGACTCCGCGATATGGTCATTATCTCACTCATACGCAGTTATCACACAGGCAGTAGCAGCTATTAAAGGTGATGTCTGTGATTGGAAGTGAGTGTGACCATTTCTCCCGGGATTATGCCATTCTGAGAAGTCCTACAAAGATGAAACAGCTGTCCATGGCTACTGGTGTTCAGTTGATATGGCATTGCGCATGGGTACCTGCGGGACTGCGGAGTTTGGTGTTAATTGTGTTTACATCTAGTGATGTAATTTGAGCGTAAAACTGCTAATATACCAAATAGCGAAAGGGGAGGGATGGTGCTTTTTTACGAGGGGGTATTTTAGAAAGGGTCGCTTATTAGAGACGTACCCTCTACGGTACCTTCTACTCTGACTGCTTTCTTACTTTTCTTTGTAGGTTCGAAAGAAGAGATTTCAAAGTAAGTAAAAACATATCATTCTAAAGTAGTAACTTGTTCTGGGACGTACATTTCCCTAAAACTTTTCCTAATAATCTTATTACATAGATGTTGTGGAATTCCACTGCGTTTAAAATATCTCCGCGTTCGCTGGTTCAATAAGCAATCAGGACTGTATCTTTCACTTTCTTCGTTTTGCGTTCGTTCATTCGTACATCACAATCGTTCTTAACCTTCTACCCAAAATTACAATGCTCACTAGTTTTATTGCTACCACAAGTAAACGCCTTCACTGCGCATGTCCGGCCGAAAAACCGAACTTGGTAAAAGCTTACTATTATTTATGTGAGCTAACGCATGAGCGTGAAACCTATTTCCTTAATTTATCCTACATGATCCACCCTATTATTATTTACCGCGCATAAACCAGGCGATTACAATCAAAACCACTAAGACTGATCAAAACAAATCGTGTCAATTCTATTATTCGTCGTAGGATGTGGTTATACGCCTAAGATAATTTTCTACTTGCAAGGCAAACTCAACTGCTCAACAATTACGAAAAATAATACTAATAATAGAATAAATTTTTGAGACACTTAAATTTCACTATCTGATGGTTCACATATTTCGCGGCATTTAAATTTCGCGATTTTACAAAAATTCTGGATTGAGAGTCACTTTACCCGGTAATTTCACGATCTTTAGAAAAACACAATACCTTTAATTTTTTAATATTCATTACAAGAAGAGGTCGTTAGACGAAATTAGTTAAATTTGTGAATTGCCATATAAATTTAATAGTGTGTTAAAAGTGGAAACAAACTGGATTTTTTTCGTGTGTGGCTTCGGCAAACAAAATTCCACAGACATGAAATTTTCTCAACATTTTACTTTCGCGATTTTTTTGAAATCGCGAAATTAAAGTGTCGCGAACATAACGTGACGCGAAAATGAAGTGAAAGGAAAAACTGGGAGTAGATAAAAACTTATGAAGCTTATTCATAGTAGATATCGTGGATAATAGCTGGCGGTGCATCATTTTCTTAGGTTTCACATGATAACAAATGCAGTTGAAGTCGTTTTATTTGATTAAGTAACGGGAACATTTCATGACGACGCGATGTTAAGACAAATCACAGTCTGTTCTGATTAGTAAAGTCAAGGAATATAATCTAATGAACTAAAAACTGAGTGAATAGAACTTCGTCCCCATCCCAAGGACTGTTGTGGCAATAGCCTCATTACTGGGGATTATTTTTCATGCATTGCTACGTAAAGTGTCTGTTGTTTTGAATACTGCTGCGATTAACTTAAACGGTCGTTAGACGACACTAATTTTGTGAATCGCCATATAAATTTAATAGTGTATTGAAAAAGGAAACAAATTAGATTTTTCATTAGGAGTTTCTCTTCAAAATCACCTTGAGCTTTAGCTTTTCTTGGACACAGTCTGTTGCTATGGCTACGGATATCACAAGTGACATGAATTAAAGCCCTTGGAACAGGGACCGCGGAGCAAGGTGAAAAGTGGGAGGGCTGACAATTGAAAATATTTTTTTCATATTGAAAATCGAAAAAAGGAATAAAAGGAATAAAATCATAGTATTTGTATGTTAAATGGTCAAACTAAAACTCATCATTTTCACTGCAAGTAGTTGTCGTCTTTTCTGCAGAGCTTGCAGACTTTGACGAAGTCCCAGATAACTCTAATAAACGACCAACATACACGGTCAGTTCAGATTCAATGCAAGAAAAGACGGGATTACAATTTTAGTATAGAAAATACTACACTGACGTGATCTGAAAAATTTCTAAGTATGGCCGTTCACTGTTCAAGTAATGTAATTCTTCTTGCCATCGAATATTTCATTGATTCGAAAGGAGAAAGAAAAAATATAAAACTTTTATCAACTCAAAAAAACTACTCACCTTCATTTGGCTTGAAAAAGCCAGTAATTTTCTTCATTTCGTCTGATAAAACTGATAAAAAACTCGACCGGAGCTGGAAGTACAAAACACGCTGCCGAACGAAGCGAAGGGGTGGCCAAGGCATGGCGTTTAATCAAGGGGCAAGTCGGCCCAAGGGCACAATTACTGCGAAAAGCACAGGAGCCCCACAAAATGCCTGGCGTTTGAAATTAAAGAAAATACAGAAAATATAGCGGAATATAGACGGAAAAAAACTTGTTTCAAGTCTTTTTTTTTTAAATTTAATTATTTTTCCTTTAGCGCAAAAAGTGGGGGCGGGGGCGCAAAAAAGTGGTGGGGCCACGGCCCCACCAGCCCCTCCCCCTCCGCGCTCCCTGTGGAACGAGGTTGCCACAGGCAGCGAAACAGTTAATTGTTTGTGTAACATTTTACTCTCTCATTGAAAAATACTTTGAAAATTTGTAAGATTATGTATTTAATTTGAATTTTCAGTAAATTTTAGGATGGACGGCATGATGTGAGCATCCAACCACAAAACACACCCGCATCCCCCGACGCCTCTTCCACCCCTAAGTAACAATGCGCCATGCGTCATAACCTTAACGAAAATGAAAGCAAATTATCCCAAATAGCACACAGTGCCATTAAATGTAATGAAAATAAAGCTTTCTGGAGCAAAAGAAACAAAAGCTTAATATTGCAACCGATAGGGTTAGAATGCGGACATAGGAATAGTAAACATGATCAGGTAACGACTTAAGGATATCGAACTACAAAGATGGCTAAGTGAAGTAAATAACGACACCAGAAAAGATGCTAACCAAAGCAACAAAACGATCATGAGAACCTACCGGGTATTCAAAACGATAGACAATTTCAAATGTGAAGATTACCTTCATCAGGTCACCAATACGCGATACAGAATAGCTCTAACAAAACTGCGACTAAGCAACTACAAATTAGCCATAGAGACAGGACGTTATTCGAGACCGTTTAAGAAACCTGAATAATTAATTTGCCTTATTTGTAAAATGGAAATGGAGGACGAATACCGTTTTCTAAATATATACCCTGCTTACGAGGGAAAAAGATGTTCGTTACTAGATTATTTGGAATATAGAACAATAAGCAGAATGTCACCTAACAAAATATTCATGTTTCTAACCCCCCTAGTGGAAAATGCTAAAAAACAAAAAATTACTTGCAAAACATATATTCGAATACTGCGAAAAAAGAAAAGAGGAAGACGGCAAAAAGTAAATACTCTGGGACTTAATTAATTAATAACTTATTAGCCATATATGGTTAGGATTTTTCTTGTTTGTAATTTTAGTCATTTGGAAATAATGCCATACTATTTAGTGTATAAATGACTCCAAATAAAAACATGTATGTAAGCATGTGTGTATGTATTTATGTAGATCAAAAAATGCTGTGAAGGGGAAAGGTGAAGGAAAAAGTTCTTATTTCTTCCTCGATGAAAGATTAATTCTTAGAAATTGATGTTTGTCTATTGAATGTAGATCACACTTGTACGGAAAAAGTGATGAGCCGAGAGCCCGTGTGCAAAGAGTTGATATGTCCTGACAACGTTGGCAGACAAATGAGGTTAACATTTTGCAAAAAAATACCAAAATTTTGTCCAAAGATTCATAAGGATCCATCAGCAGTCTGCTGCCCTTCAAAATGCGGTAATATCTCTAACTTATATAATGTGTAAATCTTCATAATGAGGTTCAATACCAGGCCTTTTGCAACTGGCATTTCATGCGGGACAAGAAACCGGTGCCATGCTGAAGAACAAGGAAAGCACTGGGACAAGACAAACAAAGAGATCACTTTGTTTGTTTTCTCCCAGTGCGTCTGTCGGCTCTCCAATTTGGCAGTTTTGTACCACGTGAATGACTACTGTTGCAAATGGCCTGCTTGTTTAAAAGTTCGAGCCTGAACTCATTCTATACTGCCGAAAATGTTGAGATAGCAAATGTATTGCACTTGAGCAAATAAAGTTCATTTTATTTATCTTTATCTATAAATAATTGCTATAACAGTAATTAATAATCCATTAGAATTCGGCGTGGCCACTGAATAGGAGCACTGAAGACCCATTTATACGGGGTTAGCCTCGACCTAAGGAAATATATTCAAAAATTCCAGTCAGTAGACTAAGACCTGTGTACAACTGTGTCTATTGTTTTAAACTCAAATTCAGGCACCTTCTCAGCTCGCCGGTATTTGTGAATATTTTACTTCGGTTCGAGGCTAACCCCGTACTAATAAAAATTCGGCTTTTTTATTCTGCTGCCACGACGAATTCGAATGTGACTAGACTATTGCTCCGCTGATTTTTTCCCCATTATCACACTTAATCAATCATCATTTGAGCATGCCATTTGTTTTATTGTTTTATTCCTTTGCCGAGTTGGGAACCAAGAGTTGTTCGCTCATGCAAGAGGACTGAATCCAAAATGCTAAGGTGGCCAGCAGAGGACTTGCTGCAAATGAGATAAAGTTACTGCAAATTAAATTAAGTTGATGCTAATAAAAAATCGTTGCTGCATACTTTCCTGTCACTTAATTTGCAGCAAATATTTTATATTTGCAGCAGCTTAAGTTAGTTTACAGCAACTTTATTTTTTTGTGTGTCAACTTTTTTATTTGCAGTATGTCCTCTGTGGGCCACCGTAAAATTTCTACCAAAAGATCTTTTACCCTGGCGTTTGTAATAACATAAACCGTTTTGTGACTAATATTTCCCAAAAGACTGCAGTTCTACAGCTTTGTTGAATTCTCTCTTTAATTGTTTGCTTGATGTTTTACAGTTTGTGAAGACAGAAACGGCATAAAGTATTCTCCTGGTCAGAGCTTTAACGTCGATGATGGTAGAAACCCGCGCCACAAATGCAAATGTGGAAAAGACGGAGTACCTGAATGCCACGAATACTATATAAGTAAATATTGCCTGCCTTTATTTCCAGTGTTGTTGCTATTGCTTGTCGCCAGGATGGTCCGCAGGTTCAGAGATCTAATTAGTCCAAAAAAACCAAATAATATTGCTAACTTATGACATAAATCACACAGCGACGGTTTTTGTTGGTAAAAATTCTTATTGCTTCTACTTGTGGCTCGTTTTGTAGCAAATGGTTGGGAGGGGTGGAAGGAGGGGGTGATGGAGCGGTGAATGTGCTCGCTCCCACTCTCGAATAAAACTCTAGCTGGAGAAGCTAAATGTGTAAACAAAAATTGGGACAGTCTTCAATTAAGCTAGTTAATTCAACTAATTTATTCATATTTTTCATGCTGAATCTGATAGGCGACCTGCCTACTCAATATTTTTTTCTTCATTTTGACTGCTTAAATTGGTGTCAGCTTTTTGCATTTCGTTAACTAATTGGTAATAAAAATATAGCCTCGTACACCTCGGCCGGCTACTGATTACTCACTGAAATCGTTCGTCCTGTAGCTATTTCTTATCGCAATTATTTTCTAGTTTATCCAAACTACTAACGTGATAAGGCTGCAAGTTATAAGCTGTAAGCACATTGAGACTCCAAAAAAAAAGATTTCTAGCTGTAAAATTTACTTTTAACTCCCTTCATTTTTTAGTTCCACCAAAAGTACCCAGACCTCCACCAGTATTTCCTCCTCCACCAAACTTTCCTCCTCCACCACGTGATGAGGTAGGTGTCTTCTGACGCCATTAGTTAATAAACAGCTAAGCAGAGCCTTTCATTCACTTGCTCGATTTAGGCGTACTCCAGAAAGACTTCGTTGAGCATGTGCTGCTTGCTACTAGGACACAGGTTTAAACCAAGCAAAGCTTAAAACTGTGCGCTTGGTATACGGATTTCCACTCTCGGAAAGGGAGTTTGACGAGAGAAAACAAGATTGACTAGTTCGGGCTTCGGCAATTTCAAAGGCTTGACTCAGGCAGGACCTTCTTTTTCTCTTTCGTTCTCAAGAAGGGAAAAGAAAGCTCTTATCGCAGGTTGGAGAGTCAAAGTGCTACGTTCAACATGTCCATCTTGTTACACTGTTCGCACAATGCGTCATGTAAAAATGAGAAAAATTTTCGTGTTTTCAACTTTATACAGCTAACAATTCAAGTCATTCTGCGAAGATTTTTTACCATTGAATTATTGTGCTCTTTTGTTACGATATTTTTTTCATTTATGGTCGTTGTACCATTATGCCACCGACATAAAGATAAATTGTTGTTAGTAAATAATTCTTAGCTAATAAATGCATCAATTTTCCAAAAAAGTAAAAACAAAAAGAAGTCGTTTACACCACTTATGATTTGAGCATTGTTCGTGGCGGAACAACTTTTCATCATTTTTGCGCAGGAGCAGAATATTTTCCCAGCGTAAGCAAATATCGGATTGTGATTAAGTGGTTTGTTAGCCACTTCAGAAAAAGTAATTTGAATAATCAAGGAGTTTATAAGGCACTTGATATTTTTAATACCATATCGTTAAAGTGCAACGTTACCTCGTACCCAGATCTCACTCTGGCCGTGGGAGATTTGGGCTCGAGTTCAACGTTTGAGATTCAACGTTTGAGATCGGCACTTGTGGAAACATCAGGGTCGGCTGGTAGCATAGTGGTATGCCAATACACCCTTCCCTTCCTTCAAAAATATGAGCAGTTTTTAGCGAGGTGGCTGTGTCGGTTGTGGTGGTTGCTGGTGGTTGTGTTGGTTGTGGTGGTTGTTATAGCCGAAATGATTGCTAAATCGAGCTGGGGCTAACTGGAAAATACCGTATTTATTCAAATGATTGACTCCTGTATACTGCATACCCCAAACCCTGGCTGTTCCTGATACATATCATTTGAAAAATAACCTTCTCCCGAGGTTTATTACTGTTGCCTGTTTCTGACATATTATAAAATGTAAAAAAAATATCTTTTAAATCTTCACTTGTTTTCTTTGCTTTTTTATCAGTTTAGGTCACCACTCATTTACAATGTTTTCTCTCTTTTAGGAGCAAACCGATTGACATTTCAGCTAGATACAAAATTTTTACTGATCGCGAAAAATCGCTTTCAGTTCAACCATAGTAAAAGTGGCTAGTTAAAGAAGACCTGTAACACATTTTCACACCATTTAATCACGTGAGAATGAATATGAAATGAATAAAAAAGCATGTTACAAATTGCCCATGAAGAGTGTTATCTAATTAGTTTATTGAGCATAATATTCTGGCAAGATCGTTACGCGTTGAGCATTCAATTTCTCCATAATCCATCCATCCGTTAATCCATCCTTTCATTTAGTCAGACACTCATTTGTCCGGCTACGTCCGTCCGTCCATTCATCCATCTATCAATCCATTTAATGACGCTTGTTACTAATTTACCGATTTCAAATTTGGTTTCTCTGGTTTTACATGTTTTGAAGCATATATGTTTGTAGAACGAGGACTGGCGTCCTAAATGGGATATCATTGTAAGGAATGAATGCCTGTCTTTCTGCGTACTTATTTATATTTTTCTGATAAACATTTTCAAATAATACATCATACCTTTGGTATTACTACTCGAATCTAGTCCATATCCAACAAAATGATTAGAGCCTCTAGTCTTCTCGGGTGCATGTAACCACGAAAACACGTAGGGTTTGTGTTGCAACACTTTCAATGATCTTATTTTATTGTTTGGAACGCCCGAGCGCGGGGAGGGGGGAGGGGGGGGGGGTTGGACGTTTCCTCCAGATTTCAAGTTACGGGGATAATCGAAGTTTTTGAAATTTTCGAGGATTCCGGGATTTTTTAGGGTAGGAAAATTTGGCATCTTTCATTTTGTGACTTGAATTAAGTAGGGGTTTTTTGGGGGTATTCAAAACAATCTGTGGTAGTGCCCGTGTAACCCGGCCGCGTAGTTCTGCGATTAAAGTCAACCAAACTTGTTTTCGTTTCTAGAGATTTTTAAGGCTCGGTAATTCGGCATGGGATTAATTTGGGGTTAATTTTTGGTCTAGGGTTATTTGGGGGTTTTGTTTGAGGCCCTAGGGATTTTTTTTCGGTTTTTGATTTTTTCCCCCATTCGATTACCCAGTCACTCGAAATCTGGAGTACCCCCTGCCGGATGGGAAGTACAAAAAAAAACGATACGAAAATGTAAAATTGATAGTTAAGTTACACTTGGCAATTCGCAACGACGAAGATGAGTATAACAACATGTATGTCTGAAATCTTAAAAGGATCTCGTGTTTCTTTATTGATGTAAGACCGACAAAAAAAGAGAATTCTTTCAAATACCGTATTTATTCTATTAACCGCCTGGGCGATTATTAAATTTTTGGACCTTGAGAGTGGGCGCGTATTAAATTTTCACCATTTTCAGCAAGTGAAGTATGTCTATTTTGCAACAAAACAATAAATTCTAATAACAAAACGCGAAGAAGTAACAAAGCAAGGTTTCTGTAAAATACTCTGAAGAAAACTCCGTCCACGGGGAAGTCTCTTATAGGGGTGAGCGCTTTTTTGAGTTTGATTGGGAGGTGGAGGGAGTGGGCGCTTATTCGAGGATGGGCGCTTATTAACTTTTTCTACCTTTAGGATGGGCGCTTATTCGAGGTGGGCGCTAATTCAAGGTTGGGCGCTTATTCGAATAAATACGGTAAATGCAAAGGCACATTCAGCGTACATTTTATAAGCGGATTAAGAGTAAATGATACCATCCGCACAACATTCCGTGCCAACAGCACAAATATAAATTCAACCCATATTCTCAGCTTAGGCAGACCTTAAGGCAAAACACTGAAAACAAAACACTGCATAATTCGTTTGGCTAAATATCGACTGGCATTCGAACTGATAATCGATGATAACCGTATCCTGAGAATATGCTGCGTTTAGAGCTAAGGCAACAAACAACAACAGCAACAACTAACTTTATTGATAAGTAATATTACAGAAGGCTATTAGAGGCAGGACAATGCGTACAACATATGAAATCAAGACTACGAGTAACTAAGGAAAGTTTACAGTTTACAAATAAATGAAAAAAGAGAAAGAGAAAGCAAAAAGAGAAGAGAACCTAAAACGGAACCTTGAGGAACTCCAAAGCTGATTGTCGCTTTATTTGCTATGTGATCAGAAATTTGAATAGTTTGGGAGCGGCTATTGAGATATGAGGAAAACCACCATTGGTTGATTAATTCACGAAAGTATTAAAAGTTGAGCTCGTCTAGCAGAATATTATGTTCAATGGTATCAAAACCTTTTTTGAGGTCAATAAACACACGACAAAGAGTATAGACCTTGATTTATATTGGCCTGGATTACATTAACGATATCTTATATAGCATGATGAGTAGAACGTCCGTCGCGAAAACCGTACTGGGAAAAGTAAATAAAATACAGTTTCTCATTGTAATTTATGATTCTGTTATATATACATAGGCCTTTCAAATATTTTGTTGAAGTTTGACAATAGAGATATAGGTCTTTATTATATAAACACCAATGAAATACCAGGTGAGCTTTCACGCGAAAACTTGATATCTTCACATGTGAAAATAACATGTTATCTTCACACGTGAAAATAACACATTTGCTATGGCTACATAATAAATCGCGCCTTTCACACCAAAAAACTATTAAAGTAAAATGGTTTGGTATTTCATTGGTGTTTATATAATAAATAGAACATTACATGGCCGCTTGGAGATACCAAATTTCTCTTCTCGTGTTGAAAAGATATATCACTCGTTCGCTACACTCGAAGAGAAATTTCGTATCTCCGCGCGGCCATGTAATATCCTCTATTTACGCTATCATATGTTATTGGTTGAAAAAAGAAAGATGGCATTGGAGACATATTTATGTTAACAAAGTCGAGAAAATGTCGTTGGGAAGAAGGAATCTTACTTGCGAGTTTACTCCCAATAGACGCAAACTGTTCATTGACAATGTTAGAAATATGTGAAGAATCTTTGATTAGTTTGTTCTTATTGTTTGGATTCTTAATTGTAGTAAAAGTCTTGAGTTTTTTTTTTTTACGGCGAAACAATACCTCATTAATACCTGTCCACGTTTTTTTAGCCTTAGTTGCGTCAGCAGCGCGTTTTTCGCCCGGGGGGGGGGTACTCCCTTATATAGGCTATATAGGTATGTGCGGTGCCAAAGGGTATGGTTTTTTAGCCGTTTTGGTCTGAAATAGGGTATCAATTTCGACCACTTTGGTCTGAAATAGGGTATGGTTTGTGCACTGTAGTCTTGAATTGGGTATGGTTTAGAAGAAGCCACTGCTAACTTCATCATTTGGCGATAAGACCATTTCCCTTTTAATGTTTATGCCAACCGTGTACGTGCCGTAACAGCTTGTCACGCGCTCCGGTCAGGCGCTGGGCTCCAGGGCTTCAGGTCTGAAATATGGTAGGGAAAATCACAGATTTCGGTCTGAAACAGGGTAAGGGTTTCAGGAAGCGTGCCGCACATCCCCACTCTATTTTTCTGAAAGTACCTCCCGAGCATTTTCGTCGTATTTTGTACACAAACAGGGGTCATTGTGCCAGGCGTTCCTTGCTGAAACCGTGGAAACTGGGACTAATAATCGTTGCGTGATCGATGCCACGCATGTTTTGCGAAGAAAGCTTAGGAAAGATTAAATTTAGAGCTTTTCGGAAACGTGTCGGTCCATGAATTCTATCGCTTGAAAGCGTTGATTACTTTGGAACAAGTGAACACTACTGAGTGGTCGAAAAAAAAATAAGAATCTTATTAAGCAAAACTGCGATGGTCCGAGTGTTCTGAGCTTTCATTGTATGCCAGTGGTCTGTGATGGGCATGCGGTTTATTTTCGGCGATGATTGAAATGACGTGCCAGGTAAATCTTTTTTTTTTATCACTGGCAATGATGTAATTCTCTGAAATCGAGGCTCTTGAATTTTCGTGTAGCTATACACGCGTATAGCCTGTGACCGCAGACGTATTTCCAGTCGTCACTAACACGCGTACTAAATCAATACAGAAACAAGTAAAAGTATCGACGTCGATAAAGTAGGAAGAAAAAGACCGAAGAAAAAGTTCTAATCGTTCCATGGGTACATTCAACGTAGATTAAACAGATTGAATCTAAATGGGATACTTCTGATTCAGATCAGGGTTTAATATGTCTTTCGGGAAGGATTTTCATTAATTTCTTTTGACTATTGGTAAGTACCTCTCGTTCATGCAAGGACCATTGTCATGATCAAGAACAGAGACTGTTAATAAAGATACTTTTTGTGTGTGTGTGTGTGTGTGTGAGGGGGGGGGGGGGGGGGAATAAAGAAGGGGGGTGGGGAGGAAATGTTTCCGGGAGATGGGGGGTTGGAAGAGGGGGAGGGATGGGTTGGCCGGGTCTGATAGAAAAAGAAGGGTAGAAACCCACAATATTTTATACAGCCGCTGATAAAAAATTAAAAAAATGAGTGGGGGGGGGGGGGGGGGGGGGAGGAATACAGAAGGGAAGTGGGAAGGGAATATTTCCCGGATAAAAGGCGTTGAAGAAAGGGAGGATCTGGTGTTGCGTGGTTTGTTGCAAAAGGAAAGGTAGAAATCCCAAGAACTTTTAGATCGACCTGTTAAAAATTCTAACGAGATGAGGTAAGATCAAAAATCCTCCCCTATATTTCATATCTATAAATGAAATGATTAAGGATTGTAATGAGAAATCATCGGCCAGTAGTGACCATCTCCGAGTATAAAGACAAACACAGTTGTGAAAACTTGAGACTGCCAGTCAATCGTGCCCTCCATCTTCAAGATAACCCTCTGTAATTGAAAAATAAAAAGATTTTAAAATATTATCGCAATGAAGGATTGTGCTTCCTCTGTGTGATGAAGATGTGATGAAGAAAAAAAAAAACACTATATTTTTTTATCATTTTTATTGTTTAGGAGAATTGACCTCTCTCGTAACTCTCCAAACTTAAAAAAACCGCTTTTTTGCTCCCTTTGGAGTAAGTATAAGTAGTCCTTTTACAATGTTTTCGCAAGTCCATAGAATTCCTTTGACGAACGCTAGTAAATTTATACTAATCACACGAGCGCAAGCGGTAATTTTTTCTGTCTTACATCTCATGGTAAAATACTAGCTGAAGGCTTACAATTCGATTGGAAAGAGAACATTTTCTACAAAACGGAGAAGTATATTCAACCAGACTGCATGACGACAAACCAACCTAGTCAAACCGAATTATTAAAGTGACATGATCGTGAAAAGCGCTCATTCACGCAATTGAAACTTTAGTTGTTCAGACGAATTTTACTCACGTTGAAGCTCAAGCATTTCTCAGATTTCAAAAATGATTTTGAGTGAAAATGAAGGGAACGTACAAAGTTATCATTATATTAGAGTTGCAAAAGTTAGAAAAGACAATATAATTATGTGATAGATAGGTAAACTGAACACACTAAGCACTTAGCATATATTATCACACTTTTAGATATCTAATCATAACTGTGAAGAACATTAATTACCAGCTTTTGCTTCGCCTGGATATTTTCCTCAACCTCAGACTTCTTTTCTGGTTACCAGGGAAACCGGGAAAAGGAGGCATTACCGGAGGGGGCCTGGGCGTAGTTTCAGGTATAGTGAAAGGAGCATGAGATGTGGGAGCGCCGGGATCTAAAAAAAAAAATCGAGATTATTGACGAGTGTGTTAGAGTGAAATAAACTGATAATAACTTCCAATAACTATAATTACATTTCAGCACTCGTTTATTTGAACTCTCACAGGTAAGGTCAGTTTAGGCATTCTGAAGTGCGTCTAATGTACATTAGGGTGTTAACGCCTAAGCACTCAATTAAGCGAAATATTAGAATTCAAGAAAAGAAATATATAATGTTGTTATAAAATTTTAAAAAAAGCTTCCAGCGAAACAACCGCTGATTAAAATAAATTTTACGTGAATAGTTATACAATAGGATTTCGCCCACCAAGACTAAAAAGTTAGCATTTAGAATTAAACTTCATACCGCCATTATTGGCTGTGGGAGAGTTAAAGGTTAAGTATTAACTCACTATCTAATATCTCAGATGGTAAGCTGGGTGGGAGGCAGAGCAAGGGTCGGTGGCGCAGTAGTGAGACCACCTGCGTCCCACAAATGTGGCCCGGGTTCAAATCATCCCAGCGTGGAAGCCATATGTGGGTTGAGTTTGTCGACATCGTTGGCCAACTCCCTTTCTCCGTGAATTTTTTTACCGGGTACTCCGGTTTACCTCTCTCCTCAAAAACCAATATTTTCAATTCCAATTCAGTCAGGAATCAGGAAGATGAAGAACCACTTAGTGGATGTGCTGCCTCTAAATCGCTGTTCATTTATTTTTACGTGACAGTGCACTGAGATTGTAAATGTACCTTTAGTTAAAGCTAAGGTGGTAAAAAATATTTTCCTTTGGTGTGACGTAACGAAA